ATGTTACGGTATGTGTTCCTAACGATTAAGTTACTAAAAGTCTGAACTTTTGAGACTGTTTCTGTTTTAAAAAGAATGAAAATATTGAGTTTTTTTGTAATTTTAATTATTGATACTATACAAGGTGTAGTTTTAAAGCCGTGTCATTTCTCGGGGGCATGTCACAGAAGTCGTAAAGGTTCAATGTAAGAGAAAATTTCGGGCCATTAGTTAAAAATACGGCTACAATAAATCGTTAAGTTCGACAGTTTTTCAGAATAAGCGACATCAATGTTTCTTATTTGAGTTTTATGGAATTAGGAATATTATCAATTACGTGTTTGAGTTTGTGTGTGTTAAGCCGCGTTATAAAGCTAGTTACAAGACGGCGGCGCGTAGTTCACACTTACGGATTTTCGTAATTTACAGAAAAATGAAAAATATTTACCTACAATGTTTTTTATTGATTCGGACTCGGTCTCGGTAGCCGAGTTACCTCCTATAAAATGACGCGGCTTAAAAACAACACCTTGTATAGTAAATATTAAAAAACGTATAAGCTAATTAATAAATTTGTTACAATAGATTTTATTACATTGTCGGGCCTCTACACGTTGGCTTCTGCTCCGAGCATGCCTTTGCAAGTTCCGGGACAAAATGGTTCCGTGAGCGGGTACAATAAACAAAATACAAAAAGTACCTTCAAAATGAAAACTTATTTTTTTTAATAAGTTGACTAAACTCTCAAATCACAAAATACATTTATTTCTTGGTCAACAACAAAACGAACCAAACTTTCAGAGATACATTAATTGGAACAGTAAAAAAACACGAATTTAACCGTGCAATACACTGTAACTCTAATGTAATGTTGTAATGTACAGTGTATTACCATAACAATCTATTCATTCGCTTCTGCTGACTGTTGTGGCAATACAAGTTATCTATGGTAAATCAATATATTAACGATAAAATTTATTTTAATTGAGGGGCTGAAAACCTTATAAAATTACCTTTTTATTGATATCAGACACTTAAATATATCTTAAAAAACATAATCGTAATCCTCTGAAAACACAAAAACAACTGATTTTGCTTGTTTTCTCAAAATCTGTTTTTCGCCGTTACAGTGTATTGGATTCACAGGTTACCAGCTGCAAGAACATACAATTATTGAAAATGACCCATTCAATTATATTATTTTACAAAATATCGAAACTAACAATGTTACGAAAATAACGAATGAGAATATTAATCCAGACCCCGTTACTGAATATAGTGAAGCAAACTTATTTACTATGAAATTTGATCACTTGAACGATCTCATATCACAAAATAGTGCTCTGTCCTGCGAAAACGAGATTCTTAAGGAAACAATTCAACGCTTCCAAATCATAAGAGTATTGAATTTTTTATGTCAGCTTGTACTTGCTCTAACTTAGCCTAACTGTGTAACTACTATCTAACGTTTAAATCTTGTAGAATAATTTTCAGTATTAGACATAAACCTAAAGAAGTGTTATTTTGCAGTTGTAGATATTAGAATTGTCTACATACAATAGAGGTGCAAAATGGAAACGATGATCAATCTTATTTGATTTGGCTCTAGCTAACGAAACCCTTTACGATTTATTTCATGGGAAAACTCGAGGATTCATTCATAACTATTAATGCTCATCTATTTTTTTTTTTTAGTTGAACAAGAAGTAAAAAGAGGATTTTCTGTACTTAATGCAAATTCAGCTAGATAAAATATTTTTTTTTTTGAAATCTAAACGTTTCTCTAACAACGATTTTACTGTGGAAGCAAACACAAAAAAGGAAGATGACGTAATAACCCAAATATATTGATAGGAATCATTAATGATAATCGATCGTTTGCATAAGATTAGACCAATATTAGAAACATTGAAAAAAAATGTCTAAGTGTGCCTAAGCGGGAGGCCCTATCCGTTGACGAACAAATGTGTGCCACGAAAATAATAGCTTTGGTTGATGCAAAGTGTTTCTATATTGTGAACCTCGAAATATACGCAGGAACCCAGCCAGCTGGCCCATATTTTGTGAGCAATAAGCCTTTTGATGTTGTCGATCGCATTGTGCAACCTGTTTCTAAATCTAATCGTAATATTACGTTCGACAACTGGTTTACAAGCTACGAGTTAGTTCTCCATTTACTACAAGAGCACAGATTGACTTCCGTGGGGACATTACGCAAAAATAAAAGGCAAATTCCTCTTGAATTCACAAAAACTCGGGGCAAAGAAATTAATTCATCTACATTTGGCTTCCAAAATGATGTTACGATTGTATCTCATATCCCTAAAAAAAACAAAGTGGTATTACTTATGTCCAGTCTTCACCATGATGCAACAATTGATGAGTCGACAGCAGAAAAGCGTAAACCTGAAATTAACACCTTTTACAATATGACTAAAGGCGGGGTTGATGTTGCTGACGAACTTTGTTCCACATACAACGTTAGCCGTAACACGAAGAAATGGCCTAAAACAATATTTTATGTTGTGCTGAATATGTCTGCAATAAATGCATATATAATACATAATAAAAATAATAATCAAATTGTAAAACGGCGCCAATTCCTCAAAAAGTTAGGCCTTGCTCTCGTAAATAACCACTTAAATACTCGCCAAGACGTCGTGCAGTTGCCGAGAGAAACGCGAAAGAGAATCAGAGATTTTCTTGGAGAACCATCTGAGGAGCCACCTGCAGTACAAGGTGTACGGAAAAGGTGTCAAGTTTGCCCAATACATGCACAAACTGTCACAAGTTTATTTGTCCCGAACATATTGTTCCGTACTGCAAAGAGTGCTGTGATATGTTGCAAGAATGAGACTAACTTAGGACTGTTTTATTTTTATTTTGATTTAAGTTTGAAAGATCTCGTTTTCAACTACACCAAAACGATAATTGTAAGATTATAAGTGAACATTTATGTTATTTTATAGTAACGAGACTGAGGATGTCTATTTTTGTTGATTATTTTTGTATGTTTTTTCATAACTCAAACAAAGATGCTACGATTAGTTAAATTGCCTTTTATTTCTGCTGCATAACCTTAAAATTAGTGTTCTAACTAAAATAAACTCATATATTTATTATATATTTAAAGTTCAACAAAATAAAGGCTTCTACATTTCAGGGTAATTTTGACCCACTTGACAGTCGGTGTAACAATTTTCTACCATACAGACGCCGGGTTAAAGCTCAGTGTACCATATATGGAACAAAATAAAAAAATGATTTTTTAGAAAAATATTGAAGTTTAAATTTTTTTTTAACTTTTCCCTACTTATTCACAACTAATTACATCATATATATTTTTTTCACAACCAAAAAAAAACAAATGAAAAAGAAGAGCGATTTAGAATCCTAAGGGCTGCAGCAGCAATCATTCGAGAAGATATTCAATCTGCAGTTTTTGATAATTCTCAATACCCCCGCCAGGTCGTATGTTTGAAGATATTAATACTCAAATCCCAGAGTCACTGACTTATTTTTTGGAGTAAGGTATTCTAAAAGAAACCATTTCATTTAGAACATTTGAAATTAGTATGCACAAATATTAGCCATAGTATTATGACTGTTGTTCGGCCAAGGTCTTTTAAATCAAAATCACAATTAGGTCTCTCTGATTTTTTTTATCGCCGATTTGGGTCGAAACGTCTTATACTATTTTTTTCGTCTTTTGGTTTGTGCATCTTATAATGATACTATATTGTAAGATGCAGCAGCAGTTTTTCAGCATCCACCTCACATTTTACCACCACAAACTGGCACATTCGTTCAGTATGTTGCAGACAATAGACAATGCTGATATAAATGTAAATACTCTGGACGGTCATAACACACTTTACATAATGGGTATCATTCAAGTTGTTACTCACTCCAAAAGTTCTATAGGAGAACCGATACAACGGATGCAAGGAGCTCCTTCAGCAACAGATTTCGCGGCAATAGCTCATGTGCCACTGCAGATTTCGTAAAATGATAGTGTAGTAGGTTATAGTAAAATAATTGTCCAAGATTTTGCTTATGATAGTGAAGTAATAGTATCTTTACTTAAAAAAGTCAATGCGATATGGTTCTATGGTAAATGGAAGAATTTTTCAATGCCCGGTTGGAATGGTTTTATTGAACAATTAACAAATAATTTTACGAATATTTCAACATCTAAAATTTTATTTTTACCATTTATTCATAGACCAGCTAATAATTACAATACTATGTACACAACTTTACTTCGTGCATTAGAAAATGCAAAACGTTATGGTCATGATGTATGCATTGTTACTTTTGATCAGCCTTTGTATGCAAAAGCTCGAGAAATCGTATTAGCCGCACCTAAAGAGATTGAATTATCGAAGATTAGGCTCGGAGGATTTCATCTACGCATGTTGTTTCTTGGTGCAATTGGTTACATTATGCAAGGAAGCGGCGTGAAGGAAATACTTTCTTTGATTTATGCACCTGGGTCATTAGAAAAAATGCTCAATGGTCAAATTTGAAGATCATTCTTCTGAATATAAATTAAAAAAAAAACATGATGAAAGGACCTACATAAAAAATATTGCCTATGTCGAGGTGCATAGAAATTCTATGTCTATTTTTGTTAAATTTACTCACGGTGGACGTACGAAACAAATCGATTTCCTCAAAACAGAGGTAGTTATATAAGGTTCAATACCTTGTGCTGTTCAAAATACTAATCCACGAGGTATTGCTCAAGAAAGAAAGTCGGATATATTGAAGAAGTTAAGTGATCTCATCCCAAAAAACAGATTGCCATTCTGGGACAACTTGCCCGTCAACAATGATTCGATTGATCTCGTACAACACAAAGAGTCTGGAGAGTAACATTAAGGTGTTAAAACTTTTTTTTATTTCTAATGCGCCTAATACACGTGCATGCTTTACCACAGTTATATTTGCGCATGCTAGCTTTTACACAAGAGAGTGCCAATATCGTGTGCATTTTACCTTAACTGCACACGTGTACTAGTGATGTGCCGGATCGTCAAAAATGTATATCCGCGGATACGGATCTGAATACGGATATTTAGTGTAAAGATCCGCGGATACGGATACGGATACGGATCTTTATTTTCTTATTCGATTTTATTCGATTGGTGTCGGCGCCCGCGACCTTGAAACGATAGTTGACATCTTCGCTCGCCGCAACGTCAGGCAGGACAAGACAGGACACGTTTTAACTTGCATTGCGCGGGTAATACTTTTGTTTTGGTTATGGTTTAGTGTGACACTGTGCCGCGTACATAACGTTTGTGTATTATTGTGATAAAAATTGAAAATAATGTCTACCAAGAAGTTTTCTAGTGTAATTTGGAAATATTTTCTGATAGTAAATGATGAATGTGCGAAGTGTAAAATTTGTGATGGAAAGTATTCGCGGAAGGGTAAAGGCACAACTTCTTTAAAAAATCATTTACAAAGAAAACATCCCGAAGAATATGATTTATTTTTGAAAGAAGACGCCGCTAAGAAGCGTACCGATGAACTACCACGGCCGGGAACATCTTTGCAAACGGTAAAAAGAGAATTTAAACAAACTTTTTTTGATGAATATATGGAAAAAACTAGAATGTGGGATAATACAAATCCCAAGTCAATCAAAATTGACTATTTGATTGCTGAAATGTTGGCTTTATCAGATTTGCCTTTTCAACATGTAGAACAATTAGGGTTTCGACGATTGATGGATCATATTGTTCCAAACTATGTTCTCAAAGGCAGAAAATATTTTACGGAACTTGTTTGCAGCGAGCTTTACGATAAAGTGTCATCAAAAATAAAAAACATGTTACAAGATTTTGATAAAGTCTCCTTCACATCAGATATCTGGTCAGATTCGTCATCAGGAGTGTCATTGTTATCTTTAACATGTCATGGTATTACTGAAGACTTTCAACGAAAAAATATCGTTTTGAAAGCGAATGTTCTTGAAGAACGTCACACTGGTGATTATATTTCAGAAATATTTCAAAGTATGTTAAATGAATGGGGAATTCAGAAACAAAATGTGCACTGTATGGTACGAGATGGGGGATCCAATATGAAGCGCGCCTGTTCTTTGTCTGAAATACATAATATCGACTGTACAGCACATCAATTACATTTGGTGGTTAAAGAGGCTATCAAAAAGGTTGATACAATCTCCGTGTTACTCGCAAAATGTAGGAAAATTGCAGGACATTTCAACCATTCCACAATGGCAAAACAAGAACTGGAAAAAATACAGGTTCGACTCAATCAAAAAGTTTTAAAAGTTTTGCAAGACTCACCGACACGCTGGAATTCCAGCTATCATATGTTGGAAAGACTTGATTGCATCAAAGATTCCCTGTCGCTTTATGCTTCGAATAACAAAATAGATCAATTTAATGCTGATGACTGGACTTTGATTCAAGACTTAGTAAAAGTGCTGAAGCCTCTAGACGATATTACAAAAACATTGAGCTCACAGAACTCTTGTATATCCGACGTTATTCCTCTAGTACGAGCATTGAATAAAATTTATGATGAAATCCAGGAAAGTCTCAATATCAGTGTACCATCTGTTCTGGATTTTGTGTCTGCTTTAAAAAATGAATTAGATTATCGATTTTCAGAAGTTGATAAAAATATTTTGTTTCAAGTAGCCACATTTTTAGACCCACGGTACAAAAGTAAATTCTTTAGCGATATTCTCATAAAACAAATAAAAGAGAAACTACGTGCAGATTTAGAAACTGAACAAAGTCTCACAGCAACTACAAGTACTGGAGTCAAACAAATTATTGTTAGAAAAGAACATTCCCAGAGTTTACAGGACTCTATTGCTAATATGTTAGATAGTGATGATGACGCTGAGCAATCCGAAAATCAAATATCAGATGCAAAAGCTAACTTGCTCGCAGAATATATGTCAGAAAAAAGATTACCTAGAGATCAAGACCAGTTAAAGTATTGGCAGATTAACAATAAAAGGTTTGGGTGTCTCAGTTCCATTGCTCGCACATATTTATCATCACCTGCAACAAGCGTTCCAAGTGAACAATTTTTTAGTGCAGCAGGTATTGTATATGATCCTCATCGTAACAGACTTTTGGGGGACAAAGCTGCGAAGTTGCTTTTTTTGAAATACAATTTACCATTACTTAATTTCAATTATGATAAATAATTTTTTCAAGCTTTTTTAGTTTTGCCTGTCTTTACTCATGTAAGCTAATGGTTCAACTTTATGTGAGATACAGTATTAATTTACTTTATTAGAATTATCATTTAATTAGAATGTGTTTCGCCATTATCTCATACTTACAAAAGTGATTTTATATTAATCTCATAATTATAAAAATGGAAGTTTAAGTTTTAGTTTTTTTTCAATGACAAAGTGCTCATGATGATAGAATTATATTATATATATATATATTAATTAAATATTCCTGTTATTATATAAAAGAGAAGATTTAATTTAAGTTTTTTCATTGTTATAAAAATGTTATAATTTGCTAATATTGATCTCAATAACATTATAAAAAAAGATTAAAGTTTTAATTGTTTCATTGTTATAAAAGTGATATTTTATCTTGCTTTCATTATAAAGATCTATCTGTCTAAATGTTTGCAATATAAAGGTGCCAAATATTTGATTTTAAGAATTAAAAACAATCTGATTGGAATTTTATAGTTTTATATTTAATAATTCTTCTCAATCACCTGAAAAAGATCCGTAAAAGATCCGCGTGAAAAGTAACGGACACGGATACGGATACGGATTTTTCTTTTATCTCGGATATCCGCGGATACGGATACGGATATTCGGAACATCACTAACGTGTACACATAGTTACGCTTAAAATCATATTTGTACGTACACTTAAGATTTTAAACAAAATCGGCACAAAACGTTCTCGGGAAAAAACCGGTAAGAAAAAATTCTGTCATGTAATTTATCATAACGATTGTGTTGTCAGTAGAGAAAATGGACTTATTATAGACATTTGATGAATGACGTGTATAAGTAATTGTTGAATAGTAAGTAAATAATTTATCAATAGTATTTAAGGAACAGAGAGTAAAGTTCCCTAGGATCGAAAAAAGAGGATCCTCCGACCAGGCGAGGTGATCGTGGCTGGCCGGCTTTCTGACCAACAGTTGTTCGTTGTGATTTTCTATCCGTGTTAATTGTTCTCCGGATTCTTGTGACGTCATCCGTTGACATGTACCATGTGTCGCCACAAGTACAATTTTGTTTGTGATAAATGATTAGTATAAATCAATAAAATTAAACAAAAGTATTAAGTTAAATTTTAATTTTGTACTAACCTCAAAGTCACAGCCAATCTATCTGCAGCGGAAATACTTTGTCGCATATTAGTATCTTGGTGCTTTAGTTTCTGGGATAAAATTTGGAGCAATTTATCGAATGTCGTTTTCTGCATTCTAAAATAATTTATATATATCTTGGGGTTGGAGGCAAAACAGTTCTCAAACTATGTAGAACCATTTCTAATCCAATTCTTAGCACGGTATACTTTGATAATTGGTTTACATCGCTTGAACTTATCTATTATTTACGGAATAAAATGGGCATTTTGTCTTTAGGAACCTTACGAAAAGATAGATTGCGCAATTGTACACTGATGACTGATAAAGCTATGATGAAAAAGGGACGAGGAACATTTGAGGTAGTGTGTGACAACTCCAAGAAATTAGCCGTAACTAAATGGGTTGATAATAAATGCATTCATATAGCAAGTTCATTTTGTGCCCAAGACCCAGTGACTACAATAGAACGGTACGATAAGAAGCAAAAAAAGAGAGTACTGGTACCATGTCCCAATGTAATAAAAGTGTACAACACACACATGGGCGGCGTCGACATTGCTGACATGTTAATTGCTTTGTACAGAATTCGTATGAAAACTAGACGTTGGTACATGTCAATATTTGTTCAACTATTAGACATCACGCTTCACAACAGCTGGCTACTACATCGTAGAGACTGTATTCAACTAGCTGAAAATAAATTAAGCCTGAAGAAATTTCGTGTGCAGTGTGCTCTTGCGCTCATGAATACCTGTACATTGTAATATTCTAAGCTAAAAATATTTGTAACTCAATTTCTTTAATACTAGTAATATGTTATGACTGATGTCTAAAAGACTGATTCTAGAATGTTCCTAATTATTATTTGATGTTAATTGTTAATTACACTATTGAAAATGTTTATTCTTTTAACGTACTACCACTTCACATATACTAGGCTATGGCCTTTTTATGTGACGTAGTTTTATGTACCACAACTGGACATATAATGGACAATGTCCGTTTTATGTGACACTTTAAAAAAAAATCTTTTCTATATATGCTTTTTTATCCTAATTCCAACCCACATACGTAATTTTAATTTTATACGAGCAAGAAATCTAAGGGTGACAATTTAAGGGTTGAAACGGGACGCGTACGCGTCCTGTCTGACAAAGGCTTTAAACCTCAATGATGACAAAGTTGAAGTTATTCCACAAAATAAAGAACGATACCTATCATTTTCATAACAGTTAACAATAAATAATCAACCAGTAAGTTTAAGCTTCGTAAATTAATTAAAATTTTTATCATGTAGTTTCAAGATCAACTAGCTAAAAAACTTAATGATGATCAGTTTACAGAACTAAAAAGGAACCATCGTAATAATGAGGACCAATACACCAATTTTATAGTTAACTCACAGATATTTCAAATGATGATTATAATCATGCAAATGATATTTGGCAACATTTTAAGTGTAGTAGTATGTCTGATTACTCCAATTTATATTTAAAAACTAATGTTTTACTTATTACTGATGTATTCGAAAAGTTTAGTAAGCTTTGTATTAAAACTTATGGAATAGATCCTGCTCAGTGTCGGATAACTCTGATTTCGGTTATGTTTTAGAAGTTGATTTGGAGTATCCTGATGAACTTCATAATTTGCATTCTGACTTTCCGTTATGTCCTGAAAACACATGTGTGGTGTGGGTAATACTAAAGAAACTAAATTAGTTCCTTACTTAAATAATAGAAATAAATACATCATTCACTACAGGAATTTATAACAAAGCATTGAAATGGGGACCCTTTTTAAGGTGGTGGCAACTATGTTGCGACCATATTTTTTTTCGTTTATCTTAGTAACATTAAAATTTTTGTCGATTTTATTTTGGATGTATCAATCCTTATATACCATTGACTCATGTCAAAGTGGCATAATGAATATGTCAAACGTCAAGACTCATTCAGAATTGACGTAATATTAAAAGTTTGGCAGTTTCTCATCTTTCATATAAATCTAGTTCAATCTCGAAAACGAAGTTTTGAACTCTTGTGTGTGGTGCATGGGTTGGCGATGGAGTTGCATGTATTTTTTCTTTTATAGATAATAATGGCGCGTTTTTTGAACGATGACAAAATCTCGGAAGAATTAAACCGTTTATTTGGTCTCCCTGGTGATGCAGAGGTTTCCGAAGACGAATATGAAATGGAACCAGAAATTATTGTCGATTTAGATGACCCTGTCCTTAGTTCTGAAGTGGATGCGCGGCGTCTGAATAATGACTCCTCAGTATGGCACCCAAATGTCACTATTGGAAATATTTTGACAAAATAGACAACTCCAAAGCAAGATGTCGCACATGTGCCAAAATAATAAAAACTAGTGGAAACACTTCGAATTTGAAAGCACATATTAATAAGATGCATTCAACCCTAGTAAGCAGCAGTAGTGTTTCTCTGCAACACACTGACTCGGCAAGTACCTTACCATTTAGGGCACCTTCTGCTCCACAGCCCTGTACAAGTAGTACAAGCACTGCTTTGCCCGAAACTGTAGAGGTATGTGAAACGGAAAGTGAATGTGAATCGGAGAGTTTTTTTTTTATATAATAGTTTTTTTTTTATAGAATCTCTTATAGTTTTAATTAACATTTAATTATAACTACAATATGGAAGAATATTAGAGGCAAAGTGCATTTCATTTTTTATTAATGTGAGTTTTAAGTTCATTCTTTACGATAAGTTGATATTAGTAATTATTATTAATAATTGTTGATTTTGAATGATTATAATTCCTAATTGATTTTTGATTGATTTCAAATAAAGAATATCATTTTAAAGCCAAGTGCTTTTTCATTTAGTATTATTTTTGTGATACACTCTAGATTTATTAAGTGGGTGATAGACGGGCGAGCAAGTACGCGTACTTATGACTCGACGACCTTTTTCGCTCGTGTGTCACCGTAAGTACGCGTACTTTAAAACCGCCGAGTAAGTTCATCGGCGATCCAACCGGTTTGAAATCTTACTCGTAGCTCGTCTTGGCTCGTACGTGTGGCAGCACTGCAAGCCGCGAGCCGCCATTTTGTTTCGCCAGTCCGTGGACGCGCACGCTTGTTTAAATTGCAATTTTTGTTATTTTTGATTCAGAAATTTCTCAAAATGTGTGATTTTCGAACTTATTCGCATGAACTGCTAACCGAATTTATAGAAGCTTTCCGAAATAACCCTTGTCTTTGGAAAATTAGAAGCAAAGACTACAAAGACAAAAATTTGAAGCTTCAAGTCCGATTCGGCAAATACCTTATGTCTCTACAAGAGTTCGGAGATCGTTAGAAGAGGCAGACCTTCCACCCAGAGCATTGACAGAGAGATAGAGGCAAAAAAAACGCAGGGGACCCATGAAGCCAGTCCCTAGTAAGGACAGATGGTGTTGACCATCATGAAAGACGATGTGATAGGAAAAACCGCTACAAACTTCCAGGATGCAAAGGATTCACCAGAATAGAATGCACGAAGTGCTAAGTGGCTTTATGCCATAAAAAGATAGAAACTGTTTTGCAATGTTCCACTGCTTTTCCCCAATAGTTACACGCATGATTCATCATGCGTGTCAATTGTCAAAATTGGCCAATTGTCCACATACCTTTACCATTTTTATGTAATAAATTCATAATTATATACCTACAATTGTTTTTTAAATATTTTTCCCTGTATCATTAATATGTAAATTCATGAAAAAAAATACAAAAGTTACAATTTAGGACATCATGCATTTAAGGGTTAAATTTTCTTTGCCTAAATGTTTAGAACATTTACTTAAGTATATTTTGAACAAATTAAGCATTGTAAATTATGATAAATACTTTGAAAAATCGGTCCAATTGAAAGTGTTTGTGGCAAAGTTATTTGCAAAATGGAAACAATGCCATCGCATCCATGACCGATTGATTAAAAATCATTACGATGAGTTAAACGAGGAGTTCAAAATGGCGAACATATAAGGAGACCAACAGTTTCAGGACGACCAAAGAAGGATTTTGGGATCTCATCACTGCGTTCTAAACAAAGAGCTGTGCAAACTCTTGTGAAAGGCCTTTCTCCGGAACAACTTTCGTTTGCAACTGAATCCAGCTTAGTTGTATCGG